GTGTGTGTGGGTGTCCCTAAGCTTCCTCCGTGACTCTAATTGAGGGTACCACCCACCCTTGTCTGCCACATTGCATTTGTGCATGTCTGACCTGGTTCATTTGGGGTACAAGCAACAGTACTAATGAGGCACGGTGCCTTGGGGGAGGGCCTTGCAGTGGGCCCACCCAGAGCTGCTGCTAGACCTAGAACCACGTGTTGGACCCCAGCCTCTGGAGAAGGGGTAAAGGTCGCTCTTCATCCACAGGTTAGACACCAGCCTCTTTTAAAAGCAAACACCCTCCCCATTATCATGTCCTGCAGCCATGAAGTTTTCCATAGCCTCATGGGTGGTTGCACTGTCCCATCAGTTTTAGAATTCCTGCCCGTCTTGTCTGTGAAACACAGCAGTTAAAGGCACGTGCCCTGGAATGCCTGGGCATGAGTCTTGGCGCTGCCACTTTGTAGGGTGACTTAATTAACTCAGCTGAGCCTGTTGAATGCAGGTTGATAACAGAATTTGCCGCAGGATGGGGTGGAGGTACAGAGAGATGCTTGTGCAATGCAATGTTCGGCTTACAGTAAGGGCCCAGTAACTGTTGAAGGTGTAGGACAAAGGAGAGGCAGGGGACAGCTCTAAGGGCAGGCTGTCAGCGACTCTGGAAGAGTCCCACAGCAAAGTAGGACTACCTCACAGGCAGTAACCCAGCCAGTTTATCCTCCAGCACAGAAACGATCTGGCTAGGTGATACAGCTGGCTTGTGTTGGTGATCACATTGGCAGTGCATGGAGGAAGCAAGGGCTGGAGGCGCCTGTGTCCCATCCTATATGTGATTATCACACAGTGCCAATTTGTCATTCACTTTTAGAAAAACATGTCGTTAAATCTGTATATTGTTAGACAAATTAATAGGTCTTAAAATGCATGGACAAGAAACATGAATCATTTTATTCCATAACTGTTATGTGCCTTAGTTTCTTCATCTGTAAAACGGGTTTAAGGTATGTACCACATTTAAGAATTAACAACACTTTTAAGTCGAGCTAAGTAAGTAGTGAACAGAATGTGAAGCCCAGAATAGTTCTTGGCACATAATAAGTGCTGCAGAAAGTTAATTACCAGATGAGAGGATTTATGAGGGAATGGTAAAGTGGTAGGGAACAAGTCTGATTCTGGAGTAGATGTCTGAGAAGAAACATTCCTGCCTCTTGAGACTGGGGGTTGACGATGCAGCAGCCTCAAAGATGGAGGCTGAATTTGTTTGGCTTATAAATAGAGGAATTAAGGTGGGTCTTCTGCAGGATTCAGGTTCTAGATGCTAATGTGTGCTAGCACAGCAAAGCAAGCATAGTTAACTTTCATCACAAATTCAGGGAGCCCTTAAGAGTTGAAAAAATAGGATTCATTCTTTTATAGGCACATGTTTTCAATTATGCATCAAGAAGGAGAAATATTTTGTCTTCTTAGTTTCCTCCAGGCTCCCAGGTGACATAAATGACAGCTTTGCCTGCTTTTACATTTACAACCCTTGGGGTCTGACTCTGGGGCACAAGGCTTTTTCTTAAATGTTGTGATCTGGCTTGAGGAAGGCTCCTTGCTGCATGGCAGGGAGGGAGGTACTGCAGAGCACCTGAGAAAGGCTCAAGGTGGTTAATCATTGACAGGGCTGGGCTGCAGGGTCCATCTGAGACTGTCTAGGCAGGGAGACTCCTGTCTGGCATTTTGTTGACTGGCTAGAGAATCTGGGGCTTGAGGTCTCACCAGTGGAGAAAATCAGCACCAATTGAAACCTGAACCCCAGATGAAAGGGCAGGATTTGTCCTCTGATTTCAGCCTCTCACTTGCTACCTACTTTCACCTCCTGGCCCAGCTTTCCAGGTTACTTAATTCACAGGTTTGGCCGGAGGCAAAATATTTGGAATTAATGATTACTCTGAACTATACTCCCAACAGTTTTCCCTCATCTAGACCTCACAAGGACTGGCCTGTTCTTCTGGGTCAAGGCTAAGGGAAAACTCCTGAGAAGCAGATAATTGGGCTGAGTCAGATAATACACCTTCCATACATATCCTGGGGGTTTGGGGAGGTGGAGGCTGTCTTTCCCTCCTGATGAGATTCCTGTTTGGGAAGCATTGTCAGCAGCACACCCCAGGCCACACGGGTGGGTAATCCCTAGCTGTACCAGTACAGAACGTGGCATGAATTTGTAGCCCTAGTAATGCTTCATTAATACATGTCTTAACCACTTAAAGATCTTACAGAAATTTAAATCTTTGTTCAGCACATCTAGGATGGTGCCTGAGTTGCAATTTTAACCAGATCCCAGGTGAGGCAATGGATCAGCACTGATCCACCGGCCGAATGGGGGATAATGGATCTAGTTATCATCCTACCAAGTGGGTGGTGCGAAGGACTGAATTACAAAAGATTGGCAATTAAAAGCACCCAGGAACACAGACATAGTGACTTGACATCTTAGATGCCTTTGAATCAGCTCTGACTCAATTCTATGACAACAGTGCCCGCAGGGCTTCTTGGGTTGTAAGCTTTACTGAAACACACCACCAACATTTCTCTCCTGCTGAGTCAGTGGGTGGGTTCAAACCACCAACTTTGTTGTTAGCAGCCAAACAGGCCACTAGGGGCTTTGCCTGGATATATAAGGGCGGAGCGACCCCCGTCAGTGAAAACCATACGGAGCACAGTTCTAGACTTGCATACAGGAGTTGTGCCTAGTGTCAGAACAGATTTGAAGCCAACTGGTTTTATTGCAAGAAGCCCTGGGGGTCATGGCAGGTTAAATGTGGCACTGTTGACTGACTGTTGCACCCACAAGCTGCAGAAGAAAGATGAGACTATCACCTACAGTAAAGATTTGCAGCTAGAAACCGGCTTGCTTGATCAGAATCAACTCAACAGCAATGGATTTGGTTTAGCTGAGTTGAGTTACAAGGAGCCCTAAGTGATGCAGTTGTTCAAGTGCTCGCCTACGGAGAGTTGATCCCTCCGCGGAGAGTTGATCCCTCCGCGCAGGTCCATGAGAGAACTATGTGATTGATAGTTATGGAAACCCAGCGGGGGAGGACACCTTTATTGTCTTATTACTGTCTCCTTAGTTCGAATTACCTCCAGGCTTGGCTTAATTGCCCTGCCTAGGGAATGCGCAGGTGCAGAAGAGGGAATTGAGGGACCACGTGACAAATTGCAACCCCAGCTGGGGCGCCTCAGGCTTCTCATCACGATGAATCCTACTGCCCCCTGGTGGGCGCCCTGTTACAGCAAGGGCGGTACTGCTTCCAGAAAATTCGCTGGCATTTTCTTCAGGGTTACACCCCAGAAGGGTGATACTATGTGACCCTCTAGGCTCTTGTCTTTGCAATCTGAAGGCAGGTAGTTTTGTAATTCTGGACTGAGTTCGCATTCCCGTGCTCAGACATGATGTAGTCTGATGGGGTGCCCAGGCTGTGTAAAGGCTAAACTAATTGAAAGATTTGGATCAGGACCTAACAATTTCCTCCCTGAAATATGACAGCCTAGATAATCTTAGCAGACAATTCTACTTTGTCACATGGAGTCACACTCCGTGAAGCCATGCCCAACATCATGGATATCAAAGTAACATTAGAGACTTGCCGGTGCCTCACTTTTCCTTTTCTAGAAAATGGGCACATGAGAGAGGTTTAAATGAACGAAGGATATTTGTCTCAGGTTCTCATCGCCGTTAGATTTGTAATTAGGCTTACATTATGTGTGCTGGGCTGCTATATGTAAGGTCAGTTCAGTTTCACTAGGCCCTGTGGAAAGAGACAAAGTCCACCCCTTAAAATGTACAACCTCTGAGTAGGAGTCAGCTTTACAGCAGTGAGATTTGGGAGGAGAGGGTGCGTGGGTGGATAGCTAGTTTTGGTGGCGAAGTCCTCGGTGAATTGCACTCCTAGCCAAAGGTGATTTAAATCCACCAGTTAGGCTTATGCTGATGGAGGATAGACGTTCTCTTCCCGCTACCATTAACAACCTTGAAAAGCTTAACTATGAGTTAGAAAGTGGATTTCAGGGGGAAGGAATGCATTGTCATAGTGACCTGGCAAGTTGTGCTTCTGGCCATAAGGCCTTGGGGTCTCTGATTTGACCCAATAATTTTGAAGGAGAAAGATACTGTCTCCTCCCATTAAGATTTATAGCGCATGAGTCTAGAATCTTGACGACAGTGGGCGCAGAGGGCCAGGCCCAGCCAGGGTCATTCTGTAAAGCTCTAGCTGACTGATAGCAGTTACCAGTCAAGGCAAATGAGGAGTCCAAGTCTCCAAGGTAACAGGACTAGGGACCAGGGACAGTCCCCTCATTTTAAGGGCCCCCAGCCCTTTGCTTGTGCCTCCCCCACCCCTTCTCTTCTTGGGAACTTGGGACTCTAAGCCTCAGCTGGTGAAGGAGGAGGGAAGTGAATGACAGGCCGACAGACCAATGGTTCCCTAAGGATGGGCAGGGGCGGGGCTTGTGCTGCCATGGAGAGGAGAGAAGTGGTTCTGTGGGGGAGGAGGGGGCGGTGGGAGAGGACCTGGAGATTGAGGGGAAGGGAGACAGCAAACAAAGGGGTCAGGAGGGAAAATAATGCACTGGCTTCCTGAGGCCCTGCAGAGCCTAGGCACGGGAAGGGAGCTGGTACAGAGGGAACAGGGGCTGACAGCAGACCACCTGGGGCAGGCGAGGCCTAAATGGCATTGTTTGAAGGGGCTGGCTACTTGCACAGCCCAGCCTAAGAGTCAGACCCCAGGCCTGGCCCCCTCCTCTGCCCTGGGTGCTGGCTTCTGAGCCTTTGATGCTCCTTGGCAACATGGAACCAAGCCCTGAACCTCTGAGTTTGGTGAGGGGGCAGGTGATGGGGACAGCAGGGTGGGGGTATCACCATGCAAAACCCATTGTGGGGGTTGCCTCTTGACCTGAGGACATGGAGTCAGTGCTGGACAGCTGGGGGAGGTGCTTGCCCCCTCATTTCCTTCTCCCCTCATTTGCCTGTCCTGCAGGAAACAATGAAGGGAGACATCAGATCTCTCAACGGAGAGGAGGACGCAAGCAGGAGGGAAGACTCCATCATCACAAATGGGGCCTGCAGCGACCAGTCCTTATACTCCAAGGATGCCCCCTCACCCCCCATCCTGGAGGCTATCAGCACCCCGGAGATCAGAGGTGATGGGGCCTGTGGGGAACAGGGTGGATGAGCTTCTGGCCACAGTGGGCCATCACTGGATGCTGCAGCTGGGATAACAGGCTCTGTCTGCAGTTTTTAAAGGAGACGGTCTTCACCATACCCCCTAGAATGGGAGAGACGAGCCCTTTGAGGACGTGGTAGAGCAAAGCCCTTCCCTTTTTTCCTTTCCTCTCCCATAGCTGTTTCCAGATCTGGAGACTGAGGAGATAAGATAGCACCTGGAAAGGTGTACAGAGAGGTGCTGGGGAACTCCCCGCACTGCCTGTTGTTGTCTAGTCTCTAGGCTTTTCAGCTTTGGCTAGAGATTTTGAAGGCCCTCTTGCAGAGGGACCCTTCTCCCTTGTCATTGAGCCTAGGGTTGTGTTAAGGAGGGGACGCTAATGTTTACTTCTGTCCTCCCCTCAGTGTAACCTCAGGCTTTCTTCCACAGATACATGTTGAGAATATTTCTGAGAACAGCGCTGTCCATCAGGGTTTTGTGTCAGGGTGAACATGTCCCATTTCTGTACCGTCTGCTGCAGCAGCCCTTAGACAGAACACGTGGTGGTAAGATAGGCTTTGATTTGTTGATTCCTTTTCATAGTGGCTGCGGAACAACTTTCTGGAATGAATCTGATGCCTCCCTCAACATCCTCAGTATTCAGTCCTGTAACGTACATGGCCTCATGATCTGATGCCATCTGTATGAAGAGATAGGACAGTGTTAGTGATCAAGGATGCAAATGATTTGAGTAAATGCTAGGCTTCAGCCTTGACAGCAAGCAGCAGAGAACACTTCTTGTTGGAGAGGGTACAGGCTGCAGGCCACCCCTTCACTGACCCTTTATTCCCTTCTCAGGCCGCCGTTCAAGCTCACGACTATCCAAGAGGGAGGTCTCCAGCCTGCTAAGTTACACTCAGGTACGCTTCTTGTTTTATTTTTCAGGGACCAGGGTACTTCCCTTTAACATTATATATGGAAACTGAGAATCCTTTAAGAAATTATTTTTAAAAAAATTTTTTATGGATATTTTAATGAAAGTTTATAGAAAATTTGGATTTTCATTCATTGTTGCACATTTTCCTCCCTACCCCCTCAGTTCACTTTTCTCTTTAAAATTCTTTCATTGTTGCACTGTTTAATAAATTCTTATTGTTGAGTACCACTGAGTCAGATCTGACTTCTAGCTGACCCTCCAGCGAGGTTTTCAGAGACATTAATCACACGGAGATTGCTTATCCTTCTCCATCAGAGCAGTTGGATTCAAACCACATGCCTTTGGGATTGCAGTGCAGTTTCTTATCAATAGGCCACCAAAGCTCCCTAATAGAAGCCAAAAAAATCCAAACCCAGAGAGGCCTGAGAAGCCTTCCATGTAGGAAGTACTACCATGTACTGTTATGAAATGCCACTTTGTTTAACATGAAAATGGACTCAGTGACTTATGAGAGTTTGAATTTTTGTTGTTGTTCAAGTCATGGAAGATTCTTGGTCTTCACAGGCTTCAGTGTGATTTGTTACTTTATCATCTTTTCATAAATGAGATGGATATGATTTTATTTCCTCTCATGGTCTGGTGCTGACACCAGGGTAATGCAGCCTCAGGATTTGGTGCAAGTTGGAGAAGGTTTTAGTCCAGGCTTGTTTGTTTTCAGATGCCATTGAGTCAGTTTTAGACTCTTCGTGACTCATAGTGCTACATTTTGCTGACTGAAGTGACTCAAAGTCTCTGTAAAAGCAGATGGGCAGGTCTTTCTTCCATGGGTGGGTTTAAATAGCTCATCAACCTTTGAGTTATCAGCCAAGTATTTGGCAAAATGACACCATTGTGACACCAGCACTCCTTGGGCTGTTGTAAGGGAATCTTTAAGAATCATAGCAATGCCTTAGTAATTTAAGATGAGTCAAGGTTCTTAATTTCTTATCAGTGTTATCCAAAGTTTCTTAACTTGTTTTGTGGTATTATTTATGTTTATGATTGTTTTCTAATCTTCTAAAACAGTCTGATTACTTCTTTTTTCTCTAGACAAAGTTTTCAGAGATTAGGGATAAAGCAGTAAATATATAAATGGTTCTATGCTACTGGGTTGGAACTGACTCAGATGAACTTTAGAGGGTTTTTAGAGCTTGAAAAATCACATGAGAGATTGCCTGTCTTTCTCCTGTGGAGCAGCTGATGGATTTGAATCACAAGCCTTTGCGGGGACCTTCACAATTGCTTACCATTTGACCAGCAGATCTCCCTCAATAAAAGCCTAGTTCAGACATTCTCCTTATGGTGGGACCAGTAGTGTGGACCCAGATGAAGAATGTGATCCAGAGAATGAAGCTTACGAGGGTCAACAGTGCTGCTGTTGGTTTTTTTTTTGGGGGGGGGGGGTAGGTCTTTTCGTAATCACAGCAATGAAACCTTGTTTTAACACTTCCTCTTCATTCCCCTCCCCCACCGCAATGGTTCACCTCATCCTTATTGTAAAGAAAGGCAAATTAACTCATCTGGGGTCATACAGTTGGCAAATACTTAATGGTGATGGCTAGATCTCTCAGCCACTTACCGCTCTGGTTTTTGTTGAGTGTTGTGTGAGAAACGTATGATTCATGGTGTGATATAGTCCAAATGGCCCTGTTTCCTGGTCATTATGGCAAGAATCTCCCTTGAGCAATTTGACTGCATTTTATCCCAACCACTGAAGAGTGAAAATTATTCCAGTCTTTTCCTGCAGGTGTACCCGAATTGCTCTGATAAAAGCATAATGTTTTGCATACCCTTCATTTTTGCGTTTTTGTTTTTTTTTTTATTTCCACTGGCTTTATCTTACGACTTCATCTTGACTTCAGGATCCAGTGGCTATGTGTAAAGATTGAGTGACTTAATGGCACAATCTCTTAGGTAGATTGACTAAGATGATCGATGCTTATATGGATTTTAATCTTCATTTCAACTCTTAATTTTAAACTGTTGATTCTGTTATTTTCCTAATTATACTTTACATGCATAATGCTTCCTTTCTGAAGGATCTGACGGGTGAAGGAGACGAAGGAGAAGATGAAGATGGCTCTGACACGCCCGTGATGCCGAAACTCTTTCGTGAAACGAGGACTCGTTCAGAAAGCCCGGCTGTAAGTCTCCTTATGCTGACTCAAGGCACGCTCAGACCTGAGTCTGAAATTATCACATCTTGAATCTCTCTGGGGGAGGTTTAAAGAAGGATATGAACATATGTTTTGAAATGAGGTCCATGGACTTTGTTTCACACGCAGAATTAAAAATGATTAGAATTTTCTTAAACTTCCACAGGATAGTAGAGTTTGGAAGTGAATGGATTTGTGAGTTGTCAGCCACATACTAGGATCCATCTCATTTGTGTGACACTTTCTGTGTCCCAGCTCCATTTTCCGAGGCCTAGATGTGGGCAGGCAATTAAAACTCAGGAATGTTGAGTTCCTTAGAGGTTAAACTTACACTTGACAACATTTCCAGTCAGTTTATGAGCTCACATGCACAGCGGTCTTTGGATTTATTTTCTTACCTTTACTGAAAGAGAGATTTTCAGTCACATAAGCAAGGTTAACACATTAATTGCTGGGGGGCACAGGATTAGAACCCAAGTATTTAAGACCTGGATGTGTACCAGGTTGTGAAGAACAGGTTAATGATGGATGATCTAATCCATTCCTGAATCTTCCATAATTGATCTTTTGTCTCTCAGGAAAATAAACTGGTTTATAGTAAACAAAGGTTTTAATTTTTGTTCCAATTTGTAGTTTCCATTTTCAGCTCAACCTTCCTCACGCTTCATGCAGACATTGATGGTAAGGGAATTCAGAGCTATTGACTTTTCAGACACACTGGTGACCACCATAACACCTTTATCCTGTTAAGAGAGAATGTCTTTGTAACATGATAATCGAGGCTGACTGTCTCATCTCTGCCCTGTTTATTAGAGTAAACCTTAGGTCCTCTCTGATGCTTCAGGCTAATTTCTCATGGTCCCCGCTGCCTCTCCCTTCTAGGCCCCATGCCTGCAATCACTGAAGGCCCCGAGCTTACACTCTCTTACTTTCAGGTACGAACTCGAAATAGCAACAGATCCACCAGACAGGAGAGGCAAAGGCCTTCCCTGCGTTCTACCCGAGGCCGCCAGGGCCGAAATCACGTGGAAGAGTCCCCAGTGGAGTCCCCGCCTACCAGGGTTGGTGCCCCAGATGTCCAGATGGCTCCCTCATCTCTAGGCTTGGAAATTTACCTTATTTACTGTTGTGGCTGCTGGATAACCTGATTTCTTTCTTCATGCTCCTCTTATTTCCAGGATCTTACTTTCCCTTGCTGGGTGTTGGATTTACTTCTCTTAAGTCTGATGATTTCTCTTCTGACTCAGTTCTGGATGGAATTAAGCAGGATTCCCTGTTGGCCAAGTACTCACGCCATTTGAACCACTGACATTCACAATTGTCTGGTCTCCCTGATAGATATATTCTCTGGCTGTACATGCCTAAGCCAAGGCTGAGTATATAGTAGAAGCTTAAATCATTGACTCTTTTTTGAGTTTGGTTTTTGAAAGCTTTGGGGATTATCCATGCTTTCATCCCAGTTAAAATTAGACATATTTTTATTCTAATAGAAGTTGTTCAGCGGGTATTCGCCCACCACTTACAGGATACTTCTTTGTGAAAAGCTATCCTCACTGGTTTCTGTTTATTTCTTCACTCTGTCTACTTGTCTGAGAAACAGTTGATATTATCTTTGGTCTCTGGTCACCGCCCTACTTTGTTGTTGGTCCCAAATAAGTGTCTTTTTTGTTTTGTCTATAGTCCCTAAGGCGCCGATCTTCATCCACGGCTACACCATGGTCATCCCCTGCCAGTCCCTACCTGACGGTTGACCTCACAGACGAAGATGTGTTGCCACAGACAAGCAGTACCCCCTACGTCTGCTTGGTCCAGGACAGCCAGCTTGAAAACCTACAGTCGCCAAAGGTGGACGGAGATGGAAGAGACGTAGAAGACGTGGAGTACCAGGTACTCCAGGGAAGACATTTCATCAGGGTGGCCAGTTAGTGACTTCAGGGAAAACATTCAAGATACCCAAAGGCACATTCCCACACAAATTCCTGTCAGCACAGTTCACCTGATGTCTGGACCTTCTGAATATTTTTGTCTTTATACTTAGCAATATATATGTAAGATTTATATTAATAGATGCATTATACATTCAGGTATATCGTATAGTATCTTCTCATTATGACAGTTAGTCTCATCCTTATTTTATGTTAACATTTTGGGAAGAAGATAAGCAGCTTCAGTTATTTTTCACACCTCAACTTAAAATAAGTGAAAGTTTACAAATCACTGGTTTATGATTTGATCATTGATATAAAATTATTTTATATGCTATAAAAATTAACATAACATTCACTTTAATTGATTTAATGAGCTCAATGGCTGGTCAACCCCTTATTGTGGCCCAGTGGTAAGAAACTGCTGTGATTCCAACGTCACATGCAGGCCAATAGCTGCTAACCAGGAAAAGGGTGGCAGTCTTATGTGTAGTTTAATGCCTGGGAAACCTGTTGGAAGTTTAGCTACTGGTCAGTTACAAATAAATGGTTCAATTTATAAATCTATGATACACAAAGTTTCCTATTTATTTATTTTTATTCCCCATTCCCCCCCCAAAATCATTGAATGCTTTTGTTCAATTAAATTGTCAATTGAACTTTTATGTTTTGCACTAAAAGCATTGAACCTACCTTATAAATTTGAGGTTTGAGAGTTTTTTGTTGCATTTTAATAACATAACAAACCATCCAATCACCCTTGGTCATTTCTGGAGTTTTATTTTATTGTTGTGATTTTAATTTGAGTCTTGTGTAAATATTTGCCATCTTTTATTCCCAAACAATAGGTTAAAATATTACTTATAATAATTTAATCACTCAAACTCAACCAGGTCTACCACATTCAACTGAATTCACTTCTGCTGATTCCAACTCCACTGACTCTTCAGTGGCTTTCTAAGCCTCTGTATGGCATAGAAAGAGATCATATTTTGCATGGTTGGTGGAGTTCAACTACCAAAGCAAGAGTCTTCATACTAACTGGATAACACCCTATGAATTATATCAGAGCTTCTTTGTCCCATTCAGTATTCCCGATATTTGTAATCTGTTCTGTTATGGATTAAAAATTCAATTGCCCCAAATTAATTTTTTTATGGTACATTTAGAGTTACTTTAAATATTTTATATTCCTAAGGAATTCTTCCATTATAATGTACTCATGGGAGCTTGTAGCTTAGACCTTGAGGCTGTTGCAATTGCTGTTAGTGGAATAGACATAATTGTTCCTTTGTAATTAATTAATTGACTTGCATAGTGAATTAATCTAATTAAACTACTTCACCTGGTTTTTCCTCCCGCTAGGATGGAAAGGAGTTTAAAATAGGAGACCTTGTATGGGGAAAGATCAAAGGATTTTCCTGGTGGCCTGCCATGGTGGTCTCATGGAAGGTAACCTCCAAGCGCCAGGCCATGGCTGGCATGCGCTGGGTCCAGTGGTTTGGTGATGGCAAATTCTCAGAGGTGAGTCATTAGCAAAGGCAGGTTCTCAGCTGGGGCCCTGAACACCTCCAGGTTTTTATTTTCCTTTTATCAAGGAATGGGACATCTAGTGTAATTTAATATTGCCATGAGACAGAAACAAGGATCAGAATATCCTAGCATCTCTTACTCAAAAATAGAAGGAGTACCATTTTATAATCCCACCAACAATGTATAAGAGTTCCTTTCTTACCACATCCTCTCCAACGTTTATTACCTGCTGCCCTTTTAAACTTTGCCACCATTACTGGAGCTATTAAGAAAATGGAAAGAATTTATTCTTAAATAATGTATTCAAATTTTGTAAATAAACTAGTAGAAAATGAAAAAATTATACAGTGAATGGGGGGAAAAAAAGTCCAACCAAAAAAATAAACCAAAACCAAACAAAAAAAAAAAAAAAAAAAGAGAAATAACTGGCGTGTGCCTGGAGATGGGTGACAGCTGCATCATTCTGTACAGACTCGCTTTATTGCAGGACTGGGTTGTTGATTACTTATATTAACCATTTTAATTTTATCTTTAAGATCATTAAGAGGGAAACTATAAAGGATAATAGTCTTAGGATCTTGAAAAATGCTTCTTTGTTCTATTCTGTAATAGGCATTTTTGAGATCCTTTAAGACTATGAGGATGGTGTAGACATATAGGCCATTGTGAAAGAGAAACACTGTGTTGTACGTTGTTGGGATTAAACCCCACTTCATAGTTCTGATTATGTTGGATTCCCTCAGGCTATTTGTCTTAAACACATAGAGTAGCTGGTTCCTACTTTGGCCAGCAGAGGGAGGTAAAGGATAAGTGTCCTGGGGTGGTGCTGCCTCTCTGACATCAGAATGTGTACAGTGACTTCTGTGACATAAAAGCTGGAATGAGGCCTAACAGTTGTAATTACTGGATCCAATGAGATAAGGTTTAATGGTATAATAGGATGCAGTGTGTGATATTTGCATTGTTGGTTGAAATTCATAAGGCCTGGTTCTTAGACCCACACCCTAGTGATACCCTATAAAAGCACAATGTGTTGTATTGGGAATAGTTTGCCATTGAACAGTTTTGCATTTTAGCACAGGAATCAAACATTTTAGCAAATTCTACCAAGAATCATAATTTACTTTTGTCCCAACTGGCAACTATATCTACATTAGCCTAGGAATTTTTAAAAGAAAGGATGTCCCACTGAAGAATATTTGGTACGTAAGGGAAAGCAGGCATGAGCAAATCACAACCAAAAAGTGCTTATTCTGTGCCCCATTCAAGAGACAAATTACACTGACTCTGATAAAAATAAGGATACAATAACTTTACCTAGCATTTGCCAAGAGAAGAGCCTATCAAATATACAGAAGAATATGCAAAATTCCAATTATGCAGCACCCACAGTGACTTTTCTGGAGAGCCATGGAGGACTCAGATCATGTGGATAATACTTCTAAAAATCCTATCCTATTTGTTCTGAATATACTGTTTCCTCTATCTTTATTTGGAAGGTCATATATATCTATAATGTTTTTTCTGTCTACTGGATAATTCAGCATCGTGTGTGTCTGTTTGTCTTTTTAGGCCCATTATCCTGACCCCTTTATGGAATTGACATTTGAACAGAATCAGAATCCTCTGTTAAGGCAATTGCACTCTTCCTGACCCCATGTTGAATAGTAAACACAATGCAGATTCATGCCATTGGTTACTGATGAATTCTTTCTTTTCTAGATCTCTGCAGATAAGCTTGTATCCCTGGGCCTTTTCAGCCAGCACTTTAATCTAGCCACCTTCAACAAGTTGGTCTCCTACAGGAAAGCCATGTATCATGCCCTGGAGGTAACATGGGACTTTGAAACTAAGGTCTGATCCCAAGAGATCTAAACTAGAGGGTGGCCAAGGAAGGTTAATGAGAACAAATCAGGATGTTAGTGAATATGTGATAATGGGCTGGCCTAACAGCCCATATGACCAAGAAGAGAATTGAGTGGGATACTTCCCTGTGATTTCAGCTTCCTGCTATGACCAGGTGGCAGACGAACAAGGAAGGAAAGGACACTGCAAATTGGTGTCAATTCCTATGAGCTAATGATATGTTCTTCCAGAAACCTAAAGGCACAAGGGTTTGATTCTGTGTCAAGGCCATAGCTGAGGTCATCTGCACCTTATTCAATGTTTTTTGACCCATGTTGTTAATCCTGTGTGTCCTTGTGTTCATCGAAGTTGTTTTAAAGGGAGCTCAGATGGCTTTGTAGTTATTGCTGATTATAGTTGAGTCAAGTACGACTCATAGCAACCCTATGAACAAAAGACCTGAAGCTTTTCTGTAACTAATGTCCAACTCAAAGGCTATGAGTTGAGATCCAACAGTGGCTTTCTGAGAGAAAGATGAAGAATTTCCTCACTTGTAATTTACTGCTTCTGAAAATTGGCTGAAGGGTTAGCTACCATTTAACAGTTCAGGACAACTTTGCTGTAAGAGTAAGAAGATCAATAGCTTTTATCCGGTATTTGTGATCCCACCTCTGCAAAGATGCTTTGCCTGCTTCTTTTTGGGTACTGTTGGTTTGGAACCAATGCATAGCTGACTCTACAGCATGTTCTCAGATGCAGTTAATCACATGGGAGGACACTGCTTATTTCTCTCCTGTGGAGATTTTAATCATGAGCATTTATATCACCAGTGCGATTTAGAATTTACCACCTTCAGGAGGGGATAATAGGATAAATTATTGCTCTTAAAAGGTGATACAGTGGGTGTGAGGGAAATTGAAAGAATTTGTTCTTAAAACAATGTATTAGAATTTTATAAATAAACTGCTAGTAGAAAATAAAAAAAATCAAAGGTGATAGACAGCCTTGACCCACTCTTTTCCTGGCTGTTAAAAGATGATTCCTCTGCCCATTGTGGAAGCTCATCCCCTGGAATTATTTGAAGCAGTCATGGAAGATTTCTGTATGTCTGCATACACAGGCCTCTCTGTCACATACCGCAGCTTAAGGCAGCTGTTTAGTGAAAGGACCCAATGTGAAGAGGATTAGCAGCAGGGGTGGGAGAGCTCTGGGGATGACCTAGCAATAACACCTAACAATGGATGACCCAGCCTTGATGTCCATCCTATTTGTCTTTAACTCTGCAGAAAGCTAGATCAAGAGCTAAAAAGACCTTCCCTGGTAGCTCTGGAGACTCCGTGGAGGAACAACTGAAGAACATGCTCGAGTGGGCTCATGGGGGCTTCAGGCCAAATGGGATTGAGGGACTCAAACCCAATGCCAAGCAACCAGGTGAGAATCAGACCCCAAGACAACACTACCTCTACTAGAGGGAGGAAACCTTGGGACACGCAGAAACATCTAATAAATCATGATGCCCCTGGGATATTGTGAATCCCAGACAAAACCTCTAGGGCGTGTAAAGTGGCAATGCAGGCTTCTTTGCTTTCTGATCACTTTCCTGCAAGTACATGCAATTTGAGATGCAATTTGTGGAGTAAATGCAACTAGAGATGGTGTCTGCCCTGACTTCACTTATCAAGAGGTCAAGGTGGTCTTTTCACTGATAACTTCTAAAGGGAAAAAAAATAGCAAAATCTTGCTAATTGGGAAAGACTTGGAAAATATTTTTTAAAAAGAAGTAACTCTATAGACACCTTTATGTGGGAAAAGGTACCCCCATCATGAGCATTTGGACGAATATCTATTATTTTACATCATTGGTCTCCTGACGTTTGGGATATTTCCAACAATCTGTACATTTAATGGAGTTTTTCTGTTTTGTTTTGTTATTTTCCCCTTTACAAAAAAGTGGTTAATAAGCCGAAGGTGACTCGTGCAGGCAAAGGAAACTTTAAATCAAGGAGCCACGGTATTCCCTTTTCCCAAGTCTTATCTGCACTATTTTCTATACACTTTCAACTTATTTGCATATTCACTGGAAAAGAATCCATTTAAACCCCTGGCTCTTCTCTACCACACTCCCCCTCTCAAAACTGAACCCTAGATTAATGATGGGTGCACAATCTTCCAAACTTTTTTCTGTCCTTTCTCCTGGTTTCTCAATAGTGTGCACACTGTCTTTTCTTGTCATTTGTGTCCTTATGATTTTTAATGGTTGCTTAATTTTCTGTCCTTGGGATAGAATAGAATTTAGTATCATGTCACTTCAATTAATTGTATAGATTACAGTTTCTAATATCCAGCCACATAAGAACCATTTGTGTAATAGATAATTTGTCTGCCCGTCTCAGTGAAAGGACTAGGAAGGAATTAATGAGATGAGCACTAATAGGATAGTTTAGGCAACATAGCCAAAATAATGGCTTTTTTTCAATAATTAATATAGTTGAAAAGGCAGAATAAACATAATTGAAAACAGCAAGCTTGCCTTAGTATTAGTTATTGTAAAATAATTGAAAAAGCAGAATGGATTTTTGGGAAATTATAGTTGGAAAAGCAAGCTTGAGTTATCCATGTGTTCATACACATGTCTAAATTTTCATGTTTCATTTTATTCACGGAATAAGCTTACTTAAAATTAACTGTGAAATTCACACCAGCCACAGTGTAAGCTCTCATTGGCAGTTAAATGATTGTTGATTAAATTTTTCAACAGCATAAATCAAGCTCTTGCTACCAGGATAGAGTTTGTAATTGAGCTTTATTTAGATATATATGAATAAGGGAGCTATTTTGTCCATCAGATGGAAACATCTTATACCCTAGATGAGCCTTCCTCACATTGTGTGCCCAGGCATGGCATGGTCTCATCCTGGTCTCAACAAGTACCCTGGAGGTCTTTCTGTCAAGTAACAGCTACCATCTTAATCTTTCACAGAGAATAAGGGCCGAAGGCGAACCAGTGATGATGCTTCAGACAGCGGTGCCCCACCCAAACGCCTCAAGACAAATTGCAATAACAGCAGACGAGAGAACGATCAGAGTAGAGGTGACTGGGCTCAGAGGGCTGCTGATACATGGACACACCTGTCAACGTAGGGGCAGATGTGGGGAGCACGAAGCAAGGGAGGGTCAACATAGGTTACACACCATGAAAAGGATCCCTTACCCCTACCTCACTCCTTCTCTTTTCTATTTTAAACAGAGCAAATGGTTTCTGATGTTAGCAACAACAAGACTACTTTGGAAGGTAATTATTTCTTTCCTTTCCCTGCCTACTTGAGTTGAACCTAGATCTCCTTCTGACATGACTCCTTATGCAGTCAAGGAGTGTGTATCATATGAGTGATGCTGGTCCCTTATTTAATAGGACCCTTAGTGGTATTACTTACATTGAATAAAATGAGTTGCCTAAATACGGAAAATTACTCTACGTGTGCTAAACAAGCAGGGAAGTTGAGGTGTTGAGATGGAAATAGGATAGATGTGATGAGCACTGTGGCCATGAAAGCTCCACACCTGAAAGCAAGGTCTGACCGATTTTCTCAAACAAGAGTTGTTAACTCTTAGGGAGCTCTAGTGGCCTAGTGGCAAGAAGCTGCACTGCAATCTCCAAGGTGTACGTGGTTTGAATCCACCAGACAGTCTGCTAAAGAAGGAGGGGCAATCTCCTGTCAGATCCGTTATGACAGTATACACACAAAAATTAAATAAAATAAATTTTAAAATATGAGTTGTTAACTCCCTTTGTGAAAAATGCAGGTATTTTATATCTGTATTTCTTAGGCCAATTGTAGCCTTCCTCCCACTGGAATTATCATAGATTTAGAAATATAACTAGAATATATGTTATGAATTCTTTTTAAATAAATTTTGTAATAGATTCTTTTTTTTATACTATTTTATTTACAAAATTGTAATGGATTCTTGATTGCATAAAGACCTAACTCCTTGAGTCTTCAGTCATATGCCCTTAAGTGGTTGTTCAAATGTTGGACTCAGAAAAAGAAAAGCTTCTGGCTCTAAATACCTGGAGAAATCTTAAGCTTACAGGAGTCCCTTCTGTGCTGCCAGTACTAATCTACCATCTAGTCTTTTTTTCCTGGCTGGAGTCTGTGCAGTGCATTATACAGTCCTCCCGACCTGACATGAATGAGTTCTGAACTGGTTGTGTGAAAGGAATACAGGATATTTTTGTGAACAGATCTCTGAAATTATAAAAACAGCTTACTTTTCATGGTGGGGCCCTCAAGGGTTAGTCTTAACATGGTTACCTAGCAAATAGACAAAGTCAGTCTCAAAGACAGTTAAGAATTTTAGATTTTGGCATTAGGTTCTCTGTTGTAGAAACTCTTTCAGCTGGTTCACTTTCATCTTCCCAATGGATCATGATTTACAGTACGTTCTATGCGATAATTTGGTGACTCACCTTTCAGGGACTTAAAACTGCTAGACCAGAGGTTTTAGTAATTACTATTTCAGCCTCAATTGCTATAAAACACAACTCTGTCTTATTTACAGATAACTGCTTGTCCTGTGGTAGGAAAAACCCAGTCTCCTTCCATCCACTCTTTGAGGGTGGACTCTGCCAGATGTGCCGGGTAAGCCCTCCCATCCCCACCCTGAACCATCCTTCCTGGACTCACACGTGAATTCCCTTTATTTCCCAAACAAAAACATCTAATGTGCAAAGCTCTAGAAGTTATAAAGTAAGATGCATGCGCTTTAAAATTACCAAGAATGAGCACACAGACCATCTGTGTCCACCAAGCCATCAGTCTGTAATTTGTACCGAGGTCTCAGATAGCCTATGATGGGACAAGCCCGCTAGTCCCTGGCCTCTGATGGGATGAGCTTTTTGTCTGTGGCCATCAGGACCGGTTCCTTGAGCTGTTCTACATGTACGACGACGATGGCTACCAGTCCTACTGCACAGTGTGCTGTGAGGGCCGAGAGCTGCTCCTCTGCAGCAACTCGAGTTGCTGCCGGTAAGTGAGACCCAGCTAGCTGGTCCCCAGGGTAACCCAGACACATGGCAAGGGAAGTCCCCGAGGCAAGAGGAGGAATATAGAAAGGGGACTGAGATTTCTGGTCACTGGCAACCTAATAAGAGTATAATGCTGGACCCAGGAGTATTTGAGAAGTACAAGCGAAAGTCTTCTGGATTAAGAGAAAGAACAACTGTGCTTTAAGCCATGGCTTGTCCTAAGAATGAGGCTGGGGTACTAAGGACAGCTACCCCAGGACAAGCGGTCCCTTACCTCCTCCCACTGACAACAGATGCTTCTGCGTGGACTGCTTGGAAGTGCTGGTGGGCCCGGGCACGGCGGAAGAGGCCAAGCTGCAGGAGCCCTGGGGCTGCTACATGTGTGTGCCGCAGCGCTGCCACGGTGTCCTCTATCGCCGGAAGGACTGGAACACACGCCTGCAGTCCTTCTTCACCAGTGACGTCAACCGCCACTATGTAAGCCACCACCATGGCCTTTACCTGGATCCCTGGGCTTCTGGCACCTAGGTGTCATCCAGTCAATACCTCAGGCTTACCTTAAGCCCACTTGGGGGTAATTTTCCTCTCAATGTATAGAATATCCAATGTTTCATAATTGAATTATAGAACAAACAAAGTTCTCTATTGAGAACTTTTCTATTGAGAAGAACTTCTCTGTTGAGAGGAAGAACACTTGGCATAAATTTTCCTGATCTCCAGTCACAGCCCTCCTGTTATTATTGTATAACTCTTTTGTTGTTGTTGTATACCATCTAATCACATCGGACTGTCACAGGAGGAGATTGCCCCTCCTCCAGCAGTACATCTGGTGGATTCAAACCGCGTGCCTTCAAGATCATAGCGCAGCTTTTGCCACTAGGCCATCAGAGCTCCCTTATTACTGTGTAACTCTTGAGAAATGAAGATAGTCTTAAATTCCCATGTTACAATCTGACCTGTGTTCCACGTGTCCTGACATATGGGGCTAGATTTAAAATCAGTCGTTCTGTTCTGCTCCTGATCAACAACTGAGAATTGGTGGAGCAACACTTGAAGCTAAACTCCTAGTTTTTCTATCCATGTCCTTGGTAACTCTTTGAATCCCTTTTCGTTCCTGCCAGGAAGCTCCCAAGGTGTTCCCTGCCATTCCTGCGGCCCAAAGGCAGCCCATCCGAGTTCTTTCTCTGTTTGATGGAATTGCAACTGGTGAGTTTTAGGCTCACCTGAGGATGCTTTGGTGTTTTCCCCATGGGATTTAGGGGTCGAAATGGAGCCTGGGTCATATATCTGACTCCTTTTCTTAATATGTGCAGGTAATTTCAAAATGACTAATTCTTTTCAATGCTTTAATATGTTCAGTGACCACCATCATATCTTGTTTATGCCATTTACAAGTTTATAACACCTTGCTTTAGAGGTTTACCGCTTGAGACTCTCCTGTTTTCAAGAAAGCCAGCAATCTAGAGCCCTGGTGTGTGTGTTCATCTAGGTTTTGTGCTCTTAATAAAATACAAGAACATTTTTTGTAACCAAGCTTCCCCTTTTTCTTAGAGTCAACGTCAAGATGACACACGTAACCCTCAGTTCTGATTTGCTTTGTTTTCTGTCCCTTTCTCCCAACAACTACAGGTTACTTGGTCCTCAAAGAGTTGGGCTTCAAGGTAGAGAAATATGTGGCCTCCGAAGTGTGTGAAGAGTCCATTGCTGTTGGGACCGTTAAGCATGAGGGGGTTATCAAATACGTGAACGATGTCAGGGACATCACCAAGAAAAATGTAAGGACACCTTCATTTAATTCCTCCTCTTCTCCATTCCTTCCCTCCTCAATACTTAAATGCCCAGGGCCCTGGCTGGAGGAGTCTTTAACAGTTACTGATAAGACTTTAAACCTAGACATAATTATCTATGGTATATTTTCTGTGGACAAGAGCATTGTTGCTTGTCCTGTTGTCATGAGAACCCAGGCCCTGGCCCTGCTCATCAGGTATTTCTTTGCGGATAATTTTATTTCTCTCTCAGATTGACGAGTGGGGCCCATTTGACTTGGTGATTGGTGGAAGCCCATGCAATGATCTCTCAAATGTGAACCCTGCCCGCAAAGGTCTATACGGTGAGCATCGCTTATTTCTCTTGTTCCCATGAGACCCTGGTGACCGGTGACTTCATCTTAGATGAAGTATGCTTAAGAACCCAAAAGCAGGGGAGCTCTGGTGGCCTAGTGGTAAGGAGCTGCAACTACAATCCCAGAGGCACACGGTTCGAATCCACCAGATGCTCTGCCAGGTAAGGAGGGACAATCTCCTCCTGTACCAGTCAGATCTGATTTGACAGTATACTCACACAAAAATAATAAAAGAAAAAAGAAAAAGAAAGAACCCAAAAGCAGTCTGTACTTCTGAGTTGCTCACCAGCTCTAGTGCCTTTCCAATAAATACAAATCAGCAACCCCCACAGCAAAATATAGGTATCAAACTATTGACTGTACACATGCATAAACTGGACATTGTATCCAGGAAACCATTGATACACTGATGAGAGTCTCATGAGAATAAAAATGTTTGGCTTGGCCTGGAGATTAAACCTTGCTCTGTTATCTTCGTAGAGGGTACTGGCAGACTTTTCTTCGAATTCTACCATCTGCTGAATTATGCACGACCCAAGGAAGGCGATAATCGACCATTCTTCTGGATGTTTGAGAATGTTGTAGCCATGAAAGTTGGTGATAAGAGGGACATCTCAAGATTCCTAGAGGTGAGGGGATTGACAACAGGGCATTGAAGACCCTAAAGGAATAGGCTGTCAGTGTTAACCAATATTTAGGAAAGATGGAGAATGACAATATCAATTACATAGGCACAATTTAATATAGGCAAGCCTTGTCTATAAAAGAACAAGGGTACCTGGGGACCACCATATCTGACCTTGACCAGCTTCTCAAAGGGGACCTAACCCATCCACAGCAGGAGTAACACAAAACCAAATGTCTCTCCCCCACTTTTTACCCTTTCTACTCATCTCAACACCAGTCTTACTGCTTTGCTGTGTTTAAAATTCAATGTTATAGCACCCAGACCAAACAGAACAAACCGTATTAGGGACGTTAGGTTATAATCCAGATTAATATCAGAAAACAGTAAGACAGTTCCTGAAATGTGCACACAGGCACCTCAGCCCAAATCTTTTGGCTCCAGACCAGTCTTTCCAAGTTCTCAGTCCTGCCTGTATTGACTTATCACCTGTAGTTGTCCAACAAAGTTCTTAGTCCTTCCAATATTGGCTCACTGTTAAGGTCTCCAGTTCTGTCTTTGTGTATTGCTGCTATAGGGGTAGCTGAAGCCACAATCTCTTAACATACCTCTTAAATGACATCAGAAAATTTGTCTCTGCAGCTAGAGCTATTCAATTATTGGCAAGACTAGCCAATGACATTATGCATTGTTCAGACTGGACAATCTTGTAGAATGGTAGAGACTAGGTTCAGATTCAAATGGTTAAAGTTATATTGAAAGTTACATGTCTTATTGCCCTTGGCTATATTGTTCTTCAAAATGGCTTGTTTGGAAAAGTTGGAAATATGGAAAGTTGGAAACTTTAAAGACACAGCATATTTTCCCTGATACTAAATGTCTCTATCACATGTTGGTAATTATCACGTTTAAACTTGATAATGCTACCATACTTTTAATAGAATCTCATTGCTGTCAAGGTGTACCTACCCATAGCTGATCCTCAAGGGGTTTTCAGAGGTAGTATATCACACAGGAGGAAATTTCCCATCATTCCCATTGAGCAGTTAGTGATTTGAACCACCTGCATTGCCAGCACTGCTTCCCGCCAAAATTTTGTCTGTTTTGGTTCCTTAAGATTTCATTGGGAGCCCTGATGTCCTATGGAAAGAATTTGCACTCTAAGCCTAAGGCATGCAGTTCAAATCCACCAGCTCTGTTTGGTCAATCTCTTCTTTCTTGGTTTCAACTTGATGTTACATCACAGGGATTCTATACATTTAATAAGGCTATAAGCTCTGAGTTCCAAAAATAAAACCCAGTGCTCATAATAAGTAGTTACTCACAGTAACCCTTTAGGATAAAGTAATACTGCCTCATAGGCTTTACAACACTCTAAGCATTAACAAAAGGCTTTTGTAGGACCTTATCTTAATGTAGCTAAGTAATTTTTTTAAAAAAGCAACTTTTAAAAATATTAGACCACCCATCTACCCAGGCATGTTAGAGATGATAAACTATCTTAGAGCCTATTGCCCAGCTCGTTCCTCCAATAGGCCAGTTTGGTCCATTCTCTACCATCATCATTACTTGATGAGAACTGTTTGCTCCCTCCCTGGTTGTATTTCTGTTCCACAGCTACGGTTAGTCTTTCAACTCTGTTGACTTAATGATAAATTATTCTTCCAACCTGAAGACATGTTGTTAGAATCCTCCAGGTACTCCAAGGGAGAAAGATGAGAAATCTCCTAAGTTATTTACATCCCCTGAAAACCCACTGGAGGCTCAATTGAGGGTCAGTTCTGACTCAAAGGTTCTTATGAACAACAAAAGGGAGCCCTGATGACCTCATGGTAATAAGCAGGGCTATCATCCAAAAGGTACATGGTTTGAATACACCAACTGCTTCACAAACGATGGATAGGCAGTCACTTACATGATTTCCTGCCTCTGAAAAAATCTCCTAGAGAGTCAGCTATGGATCAGTGCAATTCCATGTCACAGTGACAATAAACAACGAGAGTTGTCTGATGAGGTCCCTTCTCATCCCTCACCCTACAGTGTAACCCAGTGATGATCGATGCCATCAAAGTGTCTGCTGCTCACAGAGCCCGTTACTTCTGGGGCAACTTGCCAGGAATGAACAGGTAATGAGGGGGCACCAAGCAGGACAGGTAACATCCATGTTAAATGCAGGTAACGATGGCACTATCATTGCTGACTTGAGAGCCCTGGCAAACCTTTCTCTAAAGCACTTACTGATGAGAAATAGGATTCTGGTGCATTGCATCCTAGGATATACTGTGGATTGATGTTTATTAGGATGATTCGCATGTACGTGGAAATCTCAGGTCTATGTCCACATTTCCCTGCAGATGTCATAGTACAACTACACAAGCCCTTTGCATGTGCGAGCCTGATATTGTGCCAGTGAGCCCAAGAGAGCCTTTCATAAGTCAAAGGAGATGATGTGAAAAGCAGAATAGGCATTAAAGATACTTTTCTTCTCTCAGTGCCATCATGTAACTAGTCTGATGAGGAACCAAAATGATGTGACCGACTATTGGTGGTCAGATTCTAGCTCTAATTTTCTTAAACTTAAGCTTTCTTCAATCTTAATTGATATTAACAAACTAAAGAGTGGACAGAAGTTAAAGATTCAAGAAGGTTCAAGATTTGCTTGAGATTGCCCTTTTAATTAACTGATAAAATTGGTTCAGTGGCCACTATATCTGTGATGAAATTAGTTTATTAATTTTAAATTTGCCATTTGACACTAGTATATGTTAAATTTTATGATAGAATCAAGAAAGTGACAAGTGACAGTGACAAGAAAGGAAAGTAAGTACCTATGGGAGTCCACTGCACGAATTGGTTACAACAGTTAACTTATTTCAGCAGAGATTTAAAATGAAGTTTCTTCTAGAGTATTCCAGCCAAATAGAAGGATAAGGCATATGCATAGTTTATAGAAAATTGTTCTTAGGTAGAGAATGACTAAGAAAGCTAGAGGACTTAGAACTAAGAGATCAAATTTTGGGGTACCCACTTCATTTTTTGTGGTACCCTCTACATCATTACTCTGAAGTATTATCTGGATTGGGAATAGTGTGGAAAGTACTTGTGTTGTGTCCCAGAGCTAGCATCCACCCAGAATACAGTGGTTACAGGGATTGAGTCATGGATTTAAGAAGTAATAAGGTCCAAGATACTGTTTGAGTAGCAGTTAAGAGAATTTTAAAGTTGTGTTATTGAGGTCTGGGAGAGGAAAAGATGAGTCAGCAATGATAGCACAAACCCTTTGTTGCTGAGGGGAGCTTTGGTCTCTATACAGATTCCAAGATGTTATTATTATGTAGATCTCAATCCTAGAATTATTGCAAGTTAGGGCTATATGTCTGAAGCCTCCTGTCCTCTCTCAACCCCGAAAGATTCATCAGGCCTAGAAAAATGAGATGGGAAAGGACAACATTTACAATATGGAGGTTTCCTTAAGAAGTACTCAGCAGCAATTGTTAGACAATTTCCATTCCCATGCCTGCTTTCTTTTGGGTGACTTTGAACTTTTAGAAGCTGTCATAGCTGTTCATCAAATCTGCATATGGCTTCCTGCTCAGGAACTGCTTAACCAACCACTCTGGTTTCTTCACCCCCATCCTCTTCCCTTTTCCCATCTGTTTACTTTTTTGCATTTGCCAGATAAATTTCATTGATAAAGTGAAACCACCCCCTTAAAGCTTGCTAAGTATTCATCCCAAGCAGTAATTACCACCAAATCATGGATAGACCCACCTAGGCTTACCCATGCCTTAGATATGGAAGCCAGAGAGATGATGATATGACTTGCTCCAATTCCCAGGCATTGAGCTGCCAGTCTGGCATCAAAAGTATCTCTTACCCACCTGTGCAGTATGCATTTCCCTCCTGTGCTTTCTCTGATGGAAGCATGAGGTTCTGTACCCTGGGCTCCCAGTCGTTCATTCCTCTCCATTGCATAAGCCCCTGCCCGGACGATTTGTTCTGTGGCTACCTCTAGCAGCATCAAACCCTCTGCCGTGGTGCATTTATGAAGCCTAAGTCATGTTTCCAACCTTGGGAGGTGCCTACCAACCCAAGGCCCCTTTGCACATAGTAGAAAATAATGGGTTTTGGCTGTTCCCAGGCCCGTGATAGCATCAAAGAATGATAAACTCGAGCTGCAGGACTGCTTGGAGTTCAATAGGACAGCAAAGGTAAGATCTGGCCGTAGACTGTACCACAGACCTCTGGGAAGAGCACTTGGTGACCTCCAACTGGGATTTGGGAGATGACTTCTTTGTTGTGCCCTCCTGCCTTCTCCACGACTCCTTGGTGCTGGAATCTATCTGTACACACAACTACCCCTCCTCAAGACTCAACTTCAGATAAATAATGAGTAATTCGAGACATCTTGAAAAGCAAATACGTCACTATGACAGAAGGAAACTAGTTTTAAATTCCTTATGCCAGAGAATTTTAACCATGGCCCAATTCAATATATATTAATTAGTGTAATATTTTAAAAAGGGGAAAGTATAATATAGAGCCATAGATCATAGAAAATCCTCTATAAACCTGCTTTTTATTGTTTGCCTCAAGCTAAGTCAATTTTCCCAAAATCCACTTTACATATCTGGTGGTTCATACTTTGTAATTAATCTAACTTGATCAAGTAACTCATTTGTTTCCTCTTGTCCCTTTTTTATCGCATTGCTTTCTGAGGCTGGTACTTCTTGTTCCTTCTTGGTGTTTATGGGAAGCACAAACTTTTTTTTCCCCTTTCAACTTTGATTTTCTCATTCCTGCTGCAAGCCCAGCCCTGTCACTCTCTCCCCCACAATTACCTCCTCTCCCTCCACCTTCCCAAGGTCCTTCTGAGCCTTGACGCAACTCAGAACCTGCTGTTCCATGTTCATTCCATGTTGTTTTGTTCTCCAGTTAAAGAAAGTACAGACAATAACTACCAAGTCGAACTCGATCAGACAAGGGAAAAACCAACTTTTTCCCGTTGTCATGAATGGCAAAGAAGATGTTTTGTGGTGCACTGAGCTGGAAAGGTGAGGGGAGAGACAGAGACAAAGATGGGAACAGCCCAGGAGGAAAGGTGGGCAGGTGTTTTCCCTTCATTCATCCAGTCTCACTAAACTCTGTGCCAGTGGGGCTGAGGGTAGTACCTGATGAGAGGTAGTCCTTTTAGACGTTGGTTGTTGGGGTGGTGGAGGAATCTGAGCAATGAGGTCATGGGACAGCACCATTGTTGGCTACCCTACCCTGTCATCTGCCTGTCTGTACATGCTGGGATACCTGGAGGTAGGGGAAAGTTCCCCAGACATGCCATTGCTAGTGAAATTCCTTCTGCCAAGTTTCTCATTCTATGATTAATCAATCTCTAGCTTAGATCCGGTTTCTCTTCTCCCTCTTCCCTGTGTGAGGCTAAGCAGTTTGATCGATTTTGACTCAGAAAATTGGCTCTTGGATTTCTCTCTCCTTTTTGGAGTTGAGTGTTCTTTCACCATGACCTCTTGTCTGCCTTATTTTTCATTTTCTATTGTTCAAAAGTAATTTAATTCTAAAAAAAAAAAAAAAAGTAATTTAATTCTATGGTTTTTCTCCCTTCTGCATTTTCTTCTGTCTTGAAGACAAAAAGTTCCAAATAGAATTGTACAGCTAGTCTCCCTGATTTATCATTCTTAAAAAAGAGAAAAGTATTTTTAAAATACTAAAATTCTTTTTAAAGTAAAGGCCTATTACTGTGGATTTTTTTGTATTCTGAGGCCCAAGCCCTAGTGTACTAGACTAGGCCTGTGAGAATATGGTTGGTACAGATGACTGTCTTTAACATGTTGTCGCAAATGACATCTAAATGTGTTTCTAAGTACGGTCGTCAAAAGTGTGTGGCAACGTGTTAAATGTATCTGCTCTGGCACCCAGTGTCCAGCCAGTTTTTTCGCCTTTGGTTGTTAAGTCTTGCTTTGACATAAGTGTACATCTCCATAGCTTTCTCCTACGTCAGGAGAATCCTGCTGAGGACACACTTTAGATGGGTTTGGTAACTCCAAATCCAGCTTGACACCTAATCCAGTGCATTGAAGTAAGCAGCATGATTACCTAAACGTCTTGGTGCTTGGACTATTTTGTTAATGCACTTGCTCTTTGTTAAAAAAAATTCGCTCATACAAGCATTTGTATTATGACGATTGATATTAATCTGTCTGGCTAGCTGACAAGATGTTCATTCATTCAAGGCCCTCTAAGAACTAAGTGTGTGCCAGGAACATGGTGCTATAAGTCAGGGATTTCCTGTTGGAACACAGAAGGCGTCTTAATGGAATATGTTTGAAAAGCAGGCAGTTGTGAACAAGGGTTTTGAAGAACCAGGGGCATGACTTCTTCTGTGGATCACAGAATGGGGCTCATGAAGGCCCTGAATGAAGGGAAGGAAATTTAGACATGGTCCCTCATCAGCTACGGCGAGCTTTTCCAGCAGCTCTCGTGGGGCTGGACATCACACTTTTTTGACTCTTTATCTCCCCCCACCCCATGCTTTTCCTAGGATCTTCGGTTTCCCTGTACACTACACAGATGTGTCCAACATGGGCCGAGGTGCCCGCCAGAAGCTGCTTGGAAGATCCTGGAGCGTTCCTGTCATCAGACATCTCTTCGCCCCCCTGAAGGACTACTTTGCCTGTGAATAGTCCCATGGCAGGCGCACTGGGGGCCTTGAGGAGGTGGGCAGGGCCAGAACCCAGGAGGTGGGCTTCTCAAACTCTTGCCCTTCCTCAGTTCACCTGTGGAGGGTGACTTCTCATGTGTTTACTCCACTGTAACAGGAGCAGAGCTAGCCATCCCTCTTCAGCATGGAGAGGCTCTGGTGGGCTTCTGTTACCATACACCCAAGGTGCCACATCCTTCTACAACTCAGACCTGGCTGCTCCTAGTAGCCGAATATGGTGCTCAATTTTTTTTCTCTTCTAAAACGTTAAAACTTGAAATAGGTAGTTAAGATTGCTTCCCTTCCTCCTTTCCCATGTTTACTGCTCAGAGAAACAATAAAATACCAAAATCAGTGCTGACAGCTCTCCTATAATACTCAGGTTAATGCAGTGAAAGAATCTTAAGACGGTTATTGCAAGACTTGATAATTACTGTTTATTATTTTCTGCTCCACATCACAGGAATGTGCAGCAATGAACCTGTAGCAAAGGGACATTTAAAGGGCCCAGGTTATTCCCACCCCCCTTGTAGGGCTAGCAGAAGAGGAAATGATGTATATATTTTGAATTTTACCTGGCAAAATCCTCTCCTCAGTATCAGGTCCAGAATCTCCCCAGATAGTATTTTCTACAAGGATGATGATTTCAGCAGGGATGATATCATTATCACATTCAGGTCTATTTTTACCCCAAACCCAATGAATGGCAGGGCCACACCTTTGGTAAATCCCACTGACTGCAATAGTACCCTCTGGGGGCCCTCAGGAAAGCGTGGTCTGAGTTATAAGCTGCCCCATCTTAAATAGAGGAACAAGTATGGTTCTCTGTAATTTCACACATTCATGTGAGATGAAGGAGGAAGCTTAGGGATAACTCACCCCTCAGAAAAAAGAGGAACCCTAGAAATTTTACTCAGGCACAGAAGTATGATACCCCAATTCCTCATCCCTTGTCTGAAGTCTGAAGCAGTGACAGCCAGGACTGAAGCACATGCCTCATACTTTGTCCTCCTCCAGGATGTCAGGGAAAGAACACAAAATATGCAGTTAGCTTGTGCCTCTCTCCAGAGATTTTCAAATAAAATCCCTTTTTTATTCCATAAGAAGTCATTTTATAAGGGCAATGTGACGTCAAACAAACTGTATTTCAGAAATGCTGCCATTACAGCTTTTAATATCTTTTACTTCTACTGGTGCTATTTTGTAGACTAAGGAACATTGGCAAGTTTTGTGGGGTGGTTTTTTTTTAATTCTTTAAAAAAATTTCAGTCTTTTATGTTTAACATTTTCATAAGCTTTGTTTTTGTAATGAGCCACACAACATGGATGGGGGAAATTGTGCCTTGTCTCAACAGTTTTGCTGATTGTTTTTGTTGTTGTTTTAGGCAGAATGATGATGGATGCCTAGAGTTTACTTGATGTTTAATTAAAATCAGTATTTCTCTAACAGACTGCTGTCAGTTTATTCTGTAAGTCAGATTGGTGGGTGTGGGGCTTGTTTAAGTTGAAAAAGTAGAAATTGGAGATAGTTTAGGCTTCTCTGTATGAAAGTTTAGGGTTGATGTACAGGGTCCCCATCTCAATTAGCAGGCTTGATTAAAGCACTGCACATCCCCAAATGGGGGATGTTAGAAGTACCTCTGAGTCAATGTCAGTGCATAATAGGTGCCTTATTGCATAATAGGTGCCTTATTACTCAGACTGACCCTGTGAACAACAGAACCCTGCTCTTACTTTGCCATACTGACCACCCTTTGCTAGGTTGGCCCACCTCGTTGAGGGTCTTCCCCCACTGACACTGTACCTTTCCAAGTATGATGTCCTTTTCTAAGGTCTGTCTCCTAACAACATGCACAAAGTATGTGACATCAGTTTCACATTTGTCCTTTTGGCCTTCCATGTGATACTCAGCTCTAGTCCAATGCCACAGCATACTGACAAAGCAGTGTTTCTAGTTTTACTTAATCTTTGTCCAACATTCAGATACTTAGCAAATAATTGAAAATATTATGATTTAGATTAAGGACATCTTTGTCTTCAAACTGACATTGCTTTTCAGCACTTTGGAGATAAACTTTAAATGTAGATTTTATGCTACAGTAGCATTTCCTAATAGTAATCATTTTGGGAACAGTTGTTCCCAGTTAGCGTCTGCATGAATTTGGACCCGCAACCTTTACCTATCAACTGAGCTGTTGCATCACCAGATTGCTGTAATGTGTTGGGCAATACCTGGGAATTTGATACCTCCAGCTTTCTGGTACCATTCTCACCTGGACGTGTTGGTGGATGTTTGGAATACCCATGTCTTTATTTCTCTTGTGCAGCTGGTAATGCTAAGCCAATTCTCAGCTACTCCTGCTTCTAGTTCCAGAGGCTTGTCATGTTGCTCAAATGTAAATGAGAGAACTCTTTGGGAATGTTATCTTAATAGAGCTTCCTATGTCTTGAGTTCTGGTAGACCTACATCTCTGTATTTTGCACACTACCACAACACTGATAAACCCAAGAGTTTGCTGAAAGACACTCAACACCCGTAACAGTTTAATCCTAATCTCTAGCTTCAGCCATAAAGGAGCTGATCAAGTACCTCAAGTAATTTCATAGAACAGTATAAATGTAGCAACACGCTGACATTCTTAATTTGTTAAATGTGTAAATACCATTATAACAAAGCTCATCTTGACACTTGTGTGTTTTAAGGAGTCTGACTAAGGGAAATAGCTATAAGAGTAGAATGAATTTATCTAGAAGCTCACCTAGGACAGTATAGATGCAAGTTGCCATGGTGAGAATTTTGTAATTGGCAAACCTGGCCCACACCTCTGAGGTATTAAGACTCTAGGGCTTATGCTTACCCAATTAAACCATCTTGTGTACAGTACTGCACCCAGATGCCAGGACAGAATGAAGCAGAATAAACAGTCTCGGCCTCGTAACCCCAAGAGGAGAGATGGAACAGCCCTCCAGGTGAGGGGGTTTTGGGGTTTCTTTCCTCTCTTGTGATGTTGACTTGATGGGATGCCTTGGGGGGCACAATTCTTTATGGAGACAATGATGATCTCATACGGAGGCTAGACATAACCACTGCAGATGAAGAATGCTGTGAACACTGATCTGAGTAAAGGGGCTGAATGTAAACCCTGGGTTTATTATGACTATGGTCTAGTTGCCCTTTGTTTTATACAAGTGCCAATCTTTTCAACTAAAATGACATTGTGCTGCTGTTAAAGTGAAAAGTCGTAATGTGGGTAAAATGCTTTGTTGGATGGCATACATGTGAAATTCAATTATTGTAAAAGTGAACAAAATTAATCTGCAATATTATTACTGATCACCAGGTCCTAGTAATGTGAATGCCACCCAGTATTGATGGATATAGTGATAATCAAGTTTTAGAAAAGAATGTCTCCTTCCAGATGTTGCATAGCACCTTGGGTGGTACCACTATGTATGTGGTAGTAGCATCAAACAGGATGCCATACCCTATCTCAGTACCTGTGTTCTAGAAATTACTTGAGTACCTGCTCTGTGCCAGCACTGTGCTAGATCTCTGTTTTGTCTCTGGACTCAGATGGGGTTTTCATATCGGCACCAACCCCTGACTGTCTTGTGACCTTGGCTGTTCACCCTCACCTCTCCATGCCTCAGTTATCAACCTCATAAAGTTGATGCAAAGGTGAAATTGTATAGATAAAGCATATGCACTTTATGTGCACTGAGTACTGAGGTGACTTTATTGGAGTTCCTGGGTGGTGCAAATCTCAGCTGCTGGCTAAAAATGGAGATTTGAGTTCACCCAGAGGTACTGCAGAAGAAAGGCCAGTGATCTGAAAATCAGCTGTTGAAACCTTTCGGAGCACATGGAGTGTCCATCCTTCAGTGGGAATTTATACTATCATTACCTGGTTTGTCTTCATGAGCTCCTCAAGCCACTGAGATACCCCAACACCAACACTATTTTCCCCCTTAGTTCAATTAACTAGTCATAAGACTCAGGACTTGATTTGTTTTTAAAGAGCAGAATTGGCCATTTGTATTGTATCAATGATTGTTAGGCACTGTTGAGTACAATTAATAGTGCTGTCAGTATTGCCCCTGTGAACTTTGTTTAATGACCTATGTATGAGCCTTGTCCTATCCAGATCTGGACCTTTCCTTATTCTGTACCATCCTTCAAATTTCTGATAACTGGTCTCTTCGGATCTCGAGTCTGTTGTTCGTCACTGTGTCAATCTGTCTCTGGGAGAAGGATGATTAACTGCCTCTAAAGACTTGTTGGAGGGTTAGCTATGGGTAGGTTCTGACTTGACAGTACATAACAACAGCAGGGTCATTATGTTATATTGAAACTTATGGCTGTGTTGACACAATATTAACCATCAGAGTTGACCCCATCAACTTGATACCTGTACACTTCTCCTTTTCTGAAATAAAAATAATTGTAAAATCGTATTTGCACATAACATTACACACCCCATTTATATTTTATAAGTAAATAAAAATATGCCATGTAGACATACTAGGATGAAACTTTTCTAGTCCTTATTTCTGTAACTGATGATGTGGTATTTTGAAGCCATTCTGAATTAGGCACTGAGCCGGTGGGAGGTCTTGGTAATCATGTTGAAATTGAGTTGCTGTAGTTTCTCTTGATAATTATAGAGCATGGTAGTACTAAAAGATGACTTACCTAAGTGTACATTCACTTTGCACATGAATCCAATGGGCAATGACGGGAGCGGCTGGGCAAAGCAGCTGACTGGTTTCCACAGAACTTACCCACTTGATTGTTAATATCCTCTGCTAAGGTTACTCTTTGAGGAGCACTCAGCTGAATCATAAATATCTTCATCTCTTCGGTTCATTCAGACAGACATCTTACAGACCTTTCCCTCATACCTCCTTGTCACCAATTTTCCAGTCATGTTCCTTCCATGTTCCTGATTATCCTTACCGACTAACTGGGTGGGGCCTGACTCAATACTGCTGCTGGACCCTGCTCCATGAAATACAGGGGTCATCATACTGGCCCCTCCGACCACAGCTGCCTTGTACTTAACCTTGTAATTATTTGTGTCTCTATTTCCTCTGAAGTTCTGATGGCACCATGGTTAAACACTTGGCTTTTAATCAAAAAGATGATGGTTCGAATCTACCAGACACTGGGAGAAAACTGTGGTAGTCTACTTAAAGGTTATAGCCTGGAAAACTCACCGTTTTGCCTCCCTTGCGAGCCTGAAAACTTAACGAGGTCAGAGGCCACGTCTGCTTTTTGCTCATTATCAAATCCCCGGCCCCAGATCTGGGGGAATATATATATATATATTGTTGATTATAACTCACATGACCCTACAGGATGGAGTAGAACTGTCCTAGAAGGTTTCCAAGGGTGTGGATCCTACTTTGCACATTTTCTTCCCCCTCCCCCCTTCCCCAACTCACCCCGCAATGATTGTTCCAGATTGTTCTCATATATGTAATAATCATGTATTACTTTCGGACAATTCTTCTCCTCACCTGTTCTAATGTAGTGCTCATTATCTTCTCACTCTTTCCTCATACTCTCCTCAACGCCCCCATGCCCAAGAAGCATTCTGGCTGCAGTTCTCAGCTGGTTTTTTTTTTTTTTTGTAGTCCATAATGTATTCAATATTCTTCGCCACCAGTACAATTTGAAGGCATCAATCACTATTCTGTTTGTTTTTTTACATTTAATTTAATGTGTGTGTCTGTGTGTGTGTGTGTACCGTGAAATCAGCTCCGACTGGTCCAGGAGATTGTCCCTTCTCCTGCAGAGCATCTGGTGGATGCGAACCGGGTTGCAGTGCAGCTTCTTGCCACTAGGCCACCAGAGGTCCTTTATTTTGTCTTCTATATTTATTGTCCAACTTTCATATACACAAGATGTGACTGAAAGGAAACAAAAATTATTGCACTGGGCAAATCCGCAGCAAAAGACTTCTTTGAAGTGTCAAAAAGGAAGTATGTCACTCTGAGAACTAAGTTGCACTTGACCCAAGCCAGGGGATTATGAAATGAGATCTTTATACATAGAATTGTCCTCTACCAAAAGGTTTTATAGATAGAGTGGTTCCATAATGCGTCTCTGAGGTAACTTTAAGTCTTTCTCTAAAGCACCTGTTGAGTACCTTTATGATCCAGTAATCCATGTGTGTAGAAATATCCGCTGTAAAGAAAATATTTTTATTTCAACTACTCCGGAAGAAAATTTGTAAATAGACTTCTTTCTAGCGGTAGTCACGCTCACCCCACTGTGCGATTTCATTGGCTGCAGCGCACCACGTGACCACCCTCCTCTCCCACCGCCGGGGCCCCGCCCCTTAGGTGCCTCAGCCGTCAGTCAAAAGTCTGAGCCCGCCTCTCGGGCGCGCGGCTGAGCCTCTCGCTATAAAAGGAGCCGGCGGGCGATGACGACCCTTTACGTCGCTGCGTAACCGGGGGTGCGTGTGAGGTCATCGCGCCGGCGGCGGGCGGGGTAGGGCGGTTTGAACAAGACGAAGACGGAACCGGAGCCGGGTGCGGGCACTGGACTGGGTTCAGCGGAGAGCCGGTGAGCTGTCGAGGAGGCGCGGGTCGGCCATACGGGCGGCGGGACGGACTTCGGACCGGGCGGGCGCTGGTGAATCTCGGTGTTTTGGGCCGCTCCGCACGGGGGTGCGGTTCGGGCCGGGTGGGGGAAGGGAGGGACCGTGACCCGACGCGTGCGGACTGGGCCGGGGGGCGCGGGTTTCCTTTCCTTGGTGGGGAGCGGTTCCTCGGGCCGGAAGTGGGTGCTGCCTTTTGGTACCTCTGGGCCCCGCCGTTACTCCCCTGTGCGGTCTGGTGTAAACGAGGCCGGTTTAGGGGTGTATGTGTGTGTGTGTGTGTGTGTAAGTGGTGAAGGTGGGCGCTCTTGAGTACTCGGGGAGGCTCTTCTGTTAGAAATGTCCATCACCTGATAGAAATGTATACCACCTAATAAGTATATGGATTTTGCATTCAAAATTCAGTTTCATGTGGTGCGATCTTGGGCAGGTGCTTTAACCTCTGCAGACCTCATCTGCGAAATGGGTCAATGATAAGACTTTACAGGAAGCTCTTAATATGCGAATGGTAAAAAAAACAAACCACCCCAAAACCCCTGGGTCTTTAAACTCTATTCTCTCAAAAGATACTTGTTCCCTGCTAGGTACTGTGTTAAGTGCTGGTTATACGCTTGGCCATAGGAAGGCAAGGACTTCTTTCCATGAACCTGCTTTTGGTAGGGAGACAGAAAATGAGTTAAAGGGTAAGGATATGATATCTGTTAGGAAGACAATAAAGCAAGGCAACGTGAAAAATGCTTTTCCAGTCCCTGCCTCACAGCTGCACTGCAGTGTTTAGAGCAGAGTTTGGGGATTCCTTTTTTCCCCAAAAGGTCTAATGCTGTGTCTTAGCTATCATTGTGTTAGAAAGGGCATGGGAACCCGGTAGCAGAACTGAAGGAAGAAGGTAACTGAGTGGGCCAAGAGAGTGCTCGCCATTCAGGGTGGTAAGAATCTCCATCCAGTTGCCCTTAAAAGTGAGGTTTGTGTGGTAGTCATGGGGTCTTGTAATTAGGCCAAGTGTGAAATTGCTGAGGAGGAGGAAGGGTGAGCTGTCCCTGTATAGCTCAGAACTGAGCTCTGTTTTGACTGCCTGGGAGAGCCAATTAATTGGTTGAGTCAGTGGATGTTTATTGCTCATCCACAGGGTGCCTAACTCCACATATTTAGTGGCTGCTGAGTGTTCGGAGCACATGGGACCAGGTATTAATATACTGCTAATGAAAGAGTTTTAAATTATATGGTGAGGGAGGACCATTAACGTTTTTCTGAGCCAGGGTGTGGTCAGGAGACACACGTGGCTTTCCTAGCTAGTTGCATTTTATGGAGGGTGACACACACTGCAGCTGAAGTATGTAAGAATATTGCCAAAATGAATGGGAATTCATTTTGACTAGTCTGGGAGACACAATTTTTTTGCTAAGATGTGTGTCTCTACCTGATAATAGCATTTGTATGTAGTATTCATTCTGTGTATTTCATTCATTCAGAGGATTTTGATGGAGGAAAACATTTGATTTGACTTGTGATTCAGAAAATTCTCTAGCAGCTTTGTGAAGAACAGGTTGAAATGGTGGGATTAATCTGAGACTGTTGTAGCTGATCCTCATGAGGAATGTCAGTAGCAGGTCTTGGGCATTCTTTTTGGCACTGGGGATATGAGAATGACCAGTTCCTGCCCTGATTCTTGTTTTATACTTAATATGTGTGAGCTAATGTGCCACATACATAAGCTCTTATTTAAACCTTACTGTCACCCTTTTCAGGTAGGAAGTAGCCTCACATTTAAAATTAAGTCTTGGCTTCAAGTCCTCAGCTCTTGACTTAGAACCGCTTGACTTCTGGCCCCATTTGGTTTGAGAGCAATTCAGAAATGGAAGTAGTGACAGTCCAGTATAAATAATGTCTATTGCAAAGGTATGAATGAAATGTTTTGGGAACAGAGGAGGGAGTAATTTTTTTGTGGAGTCAGGAATGAAATCACGTTGGCTTCATGCGTAACAGGATTTTATTGACCGAGTTTGGGAGTGTGTTAATAGTTTCTCTCTCTAGAAAATTTTATGTGGAGATAGATAGATAGATAGATAGATAGATAGATAGATAGATACTGGTTTATTTACAAAGTTTATATGCATTTTTTTCACACTCGATCTTTCCTATTTCCTTCACTCTCGCCATCAAATTGTGTGACCCTATAATTAACCACCCCCACCCTATATAGAGACCTTTTTCTTCTGTTTGACACTGTCCTCTCAGCCTGGAGAGAAGTCATATTTCCTGAGTGCCCACTGTGTGCAAAACTGCAACATGCCATGGACACACAGACCTAATAACTCACTTACCTCTCTAAATCTGCCACTTGTGCTCATAAAAAGGGAATTAGATGAATGTGTCATAGAGGCAGGGACTTGGAAGTCCTCAAGTGCCTCCCCTGTTCAGATAGGTGAGTAGAGGATGAGTACCAAGGTCATTCACCTTAGTACTTACAGTGCTTAGCTTATTAGAGAGCACACTTTCCAGCTGTAATATAAGTGGATAGAATCACTAAAATAAATTTGGAAAATAGTGAAACTGTTAAGATGAATTAATAAAGCTCACCATCTCAAGAAAACTGACATAGGTATTTTGATATCTTCACAGATAAGCTTGAACTTTTCTAATCAGACAAGGATCTTTTTTGTTTCCCTTCATAAAGCCCATAACCATCCATTAGTGTCTCTTGTAATTTAGAATTTTCTGAATGTGGCCTCTGCTTGAGGCCGGCTGGCAGTTCACCTCAGGTTGGTCTTGTACATGGAGAGCCAGGCTTGTGATTACGATCATACTGTGTGGTTTGGCCTCTGGAAAGAAGGTGAGGCTTAACTGAGTGTTCTCACAAGCCTGTTATGGGTGACTCCAGGAAATGCTTATCCTCACTTGCATGCTTAGTATAACGTGAACTCCCATCTTCTTTCCTCACATGCTGTAGAAGATGGCAGTGAATGTGTACTCCACGTCAGTGACCAGTGATAACCTAAGTCGACATGACATGCTGGCTTGGATCAATGAGTCTCTGCAGTTGAATCTGACAAAGATTGAACAGTTATGCTCAGGTAAGAGATAGCAGCTACAACATTTTTCTAGAAAAGCCTGTTCTCCTTCTAAACACACTCAAGCCTGTATCTGAATACAAAGCCACACAGATTCATGGTCTGCTTTAGGGACACTCCCTTTCTTCCTCCCCTTCCTGCACTGCTTTTTACTTCTAAAAGGAACTCTGCTTAAAAGAGTCTGGTCTTTGTGTCCTGCCTCTCCTGCTGAAGCACTTCTTGACTTGGATTGTGTCTCAGCCATCCATATTTAAATGCTTTAGTTAGAGACAAGTATACTGCTACTCTGCTTTTATATGACTGCCTTTTTTTGCCTGTGGTGGACAAATGTAAGTAATGCAGTCTAGGCATTTGTGTGCATGGGAAACTAACGCATGAGAAGGTTACTTGGCTTGCAAAACCTGGTAGAACTTGTGTGTTGCTTGTGTAAAAATACAGTAGTTCTTTGTGGCATTTAATATTCCCAAGAAAAACAGAATCAGAATCTAGGAGATGCCTTTTCATTGATGATCTTATTAAAGTACCATTTAACAATTTGATACAGAGAGGATGATTTAAAATACAAATTATGTTTTATTTCTGCTAAAAAAATATTTTGTACTAATTGTATAACATTTAGAAAATGAGCAAGAAGAAAATAAAACATGTCCACAATGATATTTTTCAGAGAAAACCACTATTTTGAATGTTTTTATTTTATTTCTGTATGTGTGTATGTATATAAATTTGTTTATATTCCTTCCCCCCCCAATTAAAATCTTTTGTGGCTATTTATTACTGTAAGTAAATACTTTGGAATTGAAAACAAGTTGTCATCAATTAGACTCTGACCTGGAACAACACATCAACAGCGAACTGCCAGAATTCCAGGCTGGGTTTAGAAGGGGTCATGGTTCTAGGGATATTGTAGCTAATGTTAGATAGATCTTAGCTGAAAGCAGGGAATACCAGAGGACTGTCTATCTGTGTTTCATTGACTTTGCAAAGGCGTTTGACTGTGTGGATCATAACAAACTGGCTGACTCTGAGAAGAATGGGAATACCAGAACACTTGATTGTGCTAATGAGAAACCCATACTGGGACCAAGAGGCAGTCATCAGAAAAGAGCAAGGAAACACTGTGTGATTCAAGATTGGGAATGGCGTACGCCAGGGATGTGTCCTGTCTCCATTCCTTTTCAACCTGTATGCAGAACAGATTATGGAGGCTGGGCTCTGAGGGGAAATGTGGGGTCAAGATTGGTGGAAGATCTATCAACAGATGTGCAGATGACACAACCTTGCTTGCTGAAACTGAGGAAGACCTGAAGTGCTTGCTGCAGAGGGTCAAGGACTGCAGCCTCCAATATGGATTGAGGCTCAATGTCAAGAAGACAAAGATTCTCACCACTGGGCCAATTGGCAGCATTAAGATGGATGGTGAAGAGATTGAGATTGTTCATAGCTTCAGTTTGCTTGGCTCCACAGTCAACACTCTCGGCACCAGTAGCCAGGAAATGAGAAGATGTATTGCCATGGGAAAGTCTGCTATTAGGGACCTCTCCAAAGTACTGAAGAGCAATGGTGTCTCTTTGGAGACTAAGGTGCATCTGATACAGGCCATGGTCTTTGCTGTCACTTGTTATGCATCAGAGAGTTGGACAATGACTAAGGAAGATAGAAGGAGAATTGATGCCTTTGAGCTGTGGTGCTGGAGAATAGTATTGAGGATACCATGGACTGCTAGGAAAACAAACAGATTCATCCTGGAAAGGGTTAAACTAGGCTGCTCCTTGGAGGCAAGGATTCTAAGGCTCTGTCTAACATACTTTGGACATGTTGCAAGGCGGGACAGGTCCTTGGAGAAGGATATCATACTTGGTAGGGTGGAGGGACAGCGCAGAAGGGGAAGGCCCTCTATGAGGTGGATTGATTCAGTGATGGGATAATGGGGTGGATGCATTGGAGACAGTGCGATTGGCACAGGACAGAGCAGAGTTTAGGGGTGTTGTACATAGGGTCGCTATGAGTCGCAAGCAACTCGATGGCACATAATAACAACAACATGATGCAGTTGTTTAATCTGTTGTTAGTTTTTGGTAATTTAATTTATTTCTCTTTATGAATTTATGGCAAACTTGAGTTCCCCTTAACATGACATATACGTCTATTTACCTAGTGAATCTTAGAAGTAGAATTAATAGATCAGAAGATATGATCTTTAGGCTCTTGATAATTAATGTTTCCAAGATTTTCTCCATTTAAGCCCATTGCTATTGAGTTGAATCTGACTCCTAGTGACCCTGTAAGAGCCTATAGAACTGCACTTTCGTACTTCTAAGATTATCAGTCTTCATGAAAACAGATTGTCATATCTTTTTCCCATAGAGTGGTTGGTGGGCGCAGGCCTTCAGTTTTTTTTGTTTGTAGCAGATTGCTTTAACTACTGCAGCACCAGGGATCTTTATTACTTATCTGTTTACATTCCCTAGAAAGACTTCTTTCTTGCTCCACCTGTTGACTTCTCCTAACTGCCTCTGTTTGACATGGTATGAAAAATATGAGTTAGGTCAGCAGTTTGCTAGAGGAGTGATGGGACATGCGTCTTCCTGCTGTTTAAATCTGTGTGTTCATAAAGTGGAGCATCAGAATCTTCAGTAACTCTCTAGTGATAAAAATGAAATAATAATTTAACATTTGTGTACCAAGCATTATGGGAAAACTTTGTAAACATCTCTTCATTTAATTCTCGTACCATGAGGTAGGTGTTGTTATCAACCTCATTTTAAAGTTGAAGAAACAGGCTTAGTAAAGCTGAATTACAAGTCCAGGGTTATACAAACAACAGTTGGTGTTTGAACTTTCTTTTTAATTATGAGTCCATGCTCTTCTCTTCTGTACGGCCTCTTCAGAATCCTTTAGGTCATTGCTGTGTTGATCGATTTAAAATTATTTCTTTATTTTTATTTATTTTTTTTAAATTATTTCTGATTTATATGATTACCCTCCCCTTCTGTTTGAACTTTGTCCTTTTTTATTTTGTAGTTGAATCTTCATTTGTTTTGTTAAGGCTTAATCTCAGTTTTAAAGACCATCAGAGGGAAGCTTCTTGTGAAGTTGTATATTAAAGATGACTGGTTACCGTCAAGTTGTTTCCTGTGTGTAGTAAGCCCTGTTGGAGAAAGGAGACCGCTTCTTAAGATTTCCAAGACTAAATATGTTTAGAAGCAGTCTCTACATCTTTTCCAGTGGAGCGACTGGTGGATTCAAACCATGTACCTTTTGATTATCAAAATGCTTTACCATTGTGTCATCAGAGCGCCTTGTAGAGTAAGAGTGGTCTGTAATGTATTAATTACTATTAAAATGTGGCCATTAACATGAATTCCTTTTAATGTGAACATAATTGTTAGCCTTAGGTCTGTGCTACTTTGCCACTGTTTTCTGTTAGTTTTCTCACTTCCATCCATAGATCCCTCTTTGCTTGAGGATACTAAAATACTTGCTTGTCTTGTGGTGTATGACTAATGTGGGAGTGAGGTCATTTTCATTTTCATTTAAGGCAGTTTTTTACCAGCAGTTTCTTTCTAAAATTTACCACTTCCTATAAATACACCCTGAAGTTTACTTCACTTGCTCATGCACTCTTTTCTGGTGTAGCTAAGTCATGCACGTGCTGCCCATGTTCATCTTGTTTAGGCAAGGAACGATCGTGAACATTCCAGATGGGTACCATGAAGCCCTGGAAAACCTGAGTCTGCTCTGAGCTGCCGTTGGAGGACATAATATGTGTTTCTCAGTCAGTCAGTATTCTAGATGTAGTACTTTAACCCCTTATTTGAGTTATGTGAAGATCAGCTGTAATAGTGGCCAGACCCCAGAGGTGAGTGTAGCTCCTTCTGAGAAGAGGTCTTGTCCTCCAGGAAGGATCAGGAGACACTGACCGTTGGGTGTCAGCTTACATATTTTAGAGCTTAATTTAAACACATACCTGACTACACACTCAGACTTACTCTGATGTGTTCTTGTAAATTTATAAAAAGAAACATGTGAATGAGTTAAATGTAAACATTACAAATTATACATATTTATTGCAGTCACAGTTATATGCTCTCAAGTCGCCTGTGACTCATAGCGACCCTATGTACAGCAGCCCTAAACCTTGTTCTAACCTGTGCCAATTATATTGTCTCTGACACACCCACCCCCATTACCCCAGTCACTGAATCAATCCATCTCATTGAGAGTCTTCCTCTCCTGTACTGTCCCTCCACCCTTCCAAGCATGACATCTCTTTCCAAGGACTGGTCCCACCTTGCAACATGTTCAAAGTATGTCAGATGTAGCTTCAGAATCCTTGCCTCCAAGGAGCAACCTGGCTCACCCTCTCTAGGATGAACCTATTTGTTGTCCTAGCAGTCCATGTCATATTCAGTACTCTTATCCAGCACCACAGCTCAAAGGCATCACTTCTTCTGTCATCCCCAGCTCTCTGCTGCAGTCATAGTATCTCATAAAAAAGTCCATGAAGTATTTCAAACTTTTCCTGATGGCAGTTTCTCTTATCCTAAATGAAAGTGCTTTCCCCTCCAGAAAGTGATAAAATGGGTAGAACTCTTGGCTGTGATTTGTAAAGGAACTTTTATTCATTCACAACCTTTTGTCTTCACTCTTGGAGTATGCAAATGGTTGCATTGTTTCCCATTAATGTTGAGAAAATCAAGTCTCAGCTTCCAGACCAAACAGGATTAGCCACAGACACTGTGTCCCTTAGGAAAGCCTGCTTTCAGGAGATTGGGGTCACAGAGGACAGGAGGCTCTGAGGAGAATCCCAGTAGTCGTTTGTACTGCTGTTTGGTGCTTCCTAGTCGTATTTCTGATGAGGAGACTAGAATTTATTAAGTAAAAGGTAAAAGAATAGGTCTTTCCCTTGAGAGGGCAGAGTTGTGACCAAACTCCTATACTGTTAATGTGCTGACTTCCTTTGATGTCTGAGGTATTTTTAGCATTGTTGGCTTCTCAGC